GTGAAAGATCAGAGCCAAAATAGGGTTGCAAATAATTTTATTGAAGTAAAATCAACATCAATCATTTTATATTAAAATATTTGTAACCCCATTTTGTTTCTGATCTTTTACACATTGTAATAAGAGAAAGAAATAGAATCCATAGTTTCTTTAGATTTGAATTCATCTAATAAGTGAAGTTTTTCGAATCGTTTTCTAAGAATTTTAGATTATACGCATTTATTAACATACCACAATTGTAGTTTTCAGTTTTACACGGCTGGCGTATATCAATTCGATATTGTTTTGTCGTAGTTCAAAGAATTTCGTAGTTTCTTGCTAAAGATACTATAAGTGATGCTACAATTTCAAAATTCCATGGACCATGACATTGAACCCGGAAAACAATATCGATACAATATTATAGATTCTCCATTTCCAAGGAGTTTAGAATTCTTTGGGCTCTCTTTAGTTAAAGAATTGTTGAATTGTCCCCTTTTTAACCTTTTGTAATACCTTCAAAAGCCAATGTGAGCAATTTTCATTCATCATTTCTCAAAAAAGTATTTAATTTTTATTTTGTATTTGCAATTTAAAGGCAAGTATTTCAAATAAATCATATTTCTGTACGTATGACATAATTTATTGCAAAATATGTAGAATAAGGTATTGAAATGACTCAGTTTTAGTAAAAAAAATTTATTGCTGAGTTCGCCTTCTGAATCTGACCCAGCTTTCGGTAAGTATTAGAGTTTTGAAAGTTGTTGAACTAACCTGAATTGGTAACTATGATAAGTGTGGTGGTCCAGCATGCCATGATATATGCCTCCACCGAAAATTGAATTTTCATCCTGACGCATTTGCCATGAGGTCGAAACGGGACAATAATTGCCACATCGACCTTTTTATTTCGACCGTTCCCTCTTTTTTGTGAGCTTGTCAACAATAACGTTTAACTAAGCTTCTCGTTTCAATCCCCGTGAGTTTCATCGTTCCATAAACCATTACGCCAAACTGCAAAAAAAAGAAGATTAAGCATCAATTTCACGATCATATTTTCATTTCGGTTATTCACTTGTTATCAGCGTGCACACGCTCCCGACCTTTTCCATTTTTAATTAAAATCACTTTGCTAAACTAATTTTGATATTTATACACAATATTACGTTGTTGAAATAATCCAATAATTAACAAAACTATTTTTTTTTTGGAAGGTACTGGCGAATATAGAATAATATGGACCTCATATTGATCCCTGTGGAACTAAGCATTGTAAATATAGCATTGTCATCATCAAATAATTCAAATTCGAGTAAAATAATAGTTGTTTAAATAATTATCACACAGATAATCAGGTGAATCAAACGTAATATCCGAAAATTAATTAGTTTTGCTACTTTGACGTCAATCACACTACAAAAGTTTTCGGTAGGATTAAAAAAATTTAATTTAACTTTTATCAAAAGTAAATATGGGTCGTTATTTAACTTTACGAAGTTTCCAACAGAAAATGTCCCTTTGGTTTGTGTATTTAACGTTTCCGAGTTCGATTAAATTATGTAGAAGTTTCTGTATTCCTAAAATATTAACTGTAACCTATATGTATTTAAAAAGATGCCATCGAAGAAATATGCGATCCATCATTGTTCAAAAAGTTTGACTGCAATTTCAACTGCATCTTTTATTTTCTACATAGAGACCGATTTGCATAAATTATTGACCAAGTTTGCGTTGCCGGTAAAAGTTTTTAACCGATTTAACGCGAAAATAACTCCTTGCTATCAATTCTTCAGACAGCTCTCAGTGCTCTTCCTGCATGCAAACGACTTTGAAACATGTAATGTGCTAATTTAGCGGTAGGTAACATTTAGAAGCATGCACTGAAATAAGGTGGAAAATATCGTCGGGATTCGGTGAACTTTCAATTGGTACTTCAAGTCCTACAGTCGCTGATTACGCCCTCGCAATTTACTTGATAATCAATTCTTATTCATAAAAATGATTTAAAAGATAGAAAATAGTGGTAGTGGCTTATTATAAATCTATATTTTAAGAAGAATTAAGTTAAAATCGGTTTGGATTATCTACAACAAAAGAAAAAATGAGAAATGACTGTAGATGAGAAACTATTTGCCGAAAATAGGTCCATTACAAAAGGAACATCTTGAAAATTGCTGTTGCTGCCGTAAGCCTCGGGCTACACCAGGCCTTCCTTTCAAATATTCAAAATTGCGCTTTTCTCCATTACTCTATCGAAACTCAAGAAGCTTGCGTTCCACTGAACAGTCTTTTTTTACTAATTGGATAATTCGTTTCGTTTTCTAAAGAAATCCAAAGATAATTTTTAGATAAATGATAAATTCTGCATCTTTTCTAATTTATAGAGAGTACTACAAACACTTATAGAAATTTTTAACTGTCTGGGGCGACCCTCTATAAGGGTTCATGGACAAATTATTTCGGTAATCTCGTATTTCTCTTCAAGCCCAAGGAGGCAGGTATTTCACCTATCAAATATATCTTTCCAATTTATTACCATATCAGGGAGAAGTTATATCATCGACCTTCAACCACCATATACCAAGGATTCCTTTGAGGGAAGTAATTTATAGCCTCATTTATATATTTTACTCATTCAGAACGAAGAAAAGGATCCAAATTTTTAAAAGGATCCAAATAGGCAAAAAGTAGAATTCTCATTAAAAAATATTATTTTATAAAATTAGGATAACAAAAAAAGAATAAACAATGAAGAAAAGTGCTAAGGACATACCTATGTATGTTCTTTACGTAGTAATCGCTAAGAAACTGTATTTTTTTCTCTAACAGGCATTACAATTTATGAAGGAATTTTATGAGATAACTCCCCATCAGGAAATTGTATGAACAAAACCGATCAAAAGGGTGAAATTAACTGAATGCTCGTAAACGTATCGTAATATCGAACTTGATCCATAAACTTCACTTTTTATAATAACAGAACAACAAATCGATAAAATTTTATTACACGACATACAGTAAAACACAGTTTAACACTGTTGAGCAGTAATTTTTATTACGAAAATCATTTTTGAATTACCACAGGCACATCATGCATAATAATTTTTTGATCAAATAGGTTCTAACAATAATAAAATATATACGGGGAAGCACCGAATGAATATTAACATGAAAAGAACGTTATTATTATTTTATTTATTCACATAATTAATAGTTGCATAATTATCAATAAACATGAGTATGTAATAAAAAATTTATTTGAAAACTTTAACCTTTTTAGGAAGATACATATAGTTTGAGAAACTTTTAATTATACTTATATTTGTCTTTATAAAACTACGAGATACGATTTTAATATTTAATTAGTAAGTAAGTAAGTTTAGTTTAAAGTTGAAGGATTTACTGCTTGATGTGGAATTAATTATTTCGCAGTCAGACACTATTTTCATTATCAAAGGCATCTAAGAACTGTTTAATTAGTTTAAAGTAGTAAAAAGAATAATTTTCTTGAGAACTTATTAGGATTACCAGTTAATAAATAATGCATATTTCCTCTCGATCCCATTACCTAAGCGGGACAGACGCACAAAATTTTTAATCAGACTCTAAATACCAGAAAAAAGTAATTTGCATTGACATTAACCAATAAAAGCCACGATTGTAGAGAAGTACATTGCAAATACGAGAAAATTTTCTAAAAACAAATAACTAGGATCAGTGAGAACATATAATTATCCAGAAACAATTACAAGAAAGGATTTTTACACATTTTGTTCTCTTTCTGGTCCCTAGATGGAAATAGTTACTGAAGATTAAACTTTAGGTAAATGTCTGCACCGGTCAGGCCGATCAAGTTTATTACAGATTTCGGTAGACGATTATATTGCTTAAGATCGTCCGGTATATATATTTAATTAGCATACAAAATATACTGGGGATTTTACAACTATAAATACATGCATTTACCTTTGAAAACTTTTTTATGAAATCGCACGCGTCTAATCACATATCTGAAAGTCTCACAAATATATCAACCCCCTTTAAACGTTTATGTGGTAAAATTCACGCATTCTTTTACGTAAACGGTCATAAAAAAGTCACAGTTTCATTAAAAATCACAAAAAACGAAGTAATTTTTTCATAAGTCATGCTATGTCGAACTTTCACCTTTACTCCACGTATGACAACCAAACACTAGGAATCACTGTCAGTAAATAACGAAAAATAACGGGAGTTTCGTTACCTGACCTGTCGTCAGCGCCTCTGACACCGTTCTGGGCAGGCGTCTTGAGAGCGTCCCGACGACCGTCGCCGTCGCCGCACCGATATGCGCCCTCATACACACACGCACACGTCTACACATGCAAACAGTAGCAAATACCGGTGGATTTACAACAAAACTAACCAACGTCAAGGACGCCAGCTTAAATAGGTACTATCATACTACTTCTCGAATAAGTCGACTATGTAGACGAAATGGATTTTTTTTTAAGAAGATTATTCAAACGTAAAATGCTGATTTCCGTCTAGGAACTTCGTGAAAAGAATAAACCCTTACAATGCGTCTTTAATGAATTCAAAAACTTTTTCCAATCCTAAAAGTTTTTTTAAACTAACCGTATCAACTGTAAAAAAGTTTCAGTAAAAGTAATTATGTACCAAATCGTGTTTCTTTCTAACATTTTATTTCCACTATTTTTTTTATTTTTGACACTATCATCAAATGTTTAATATAATCCATGTTTAATCTCACTCTTTCATTTACACACGTGTGATCCGTGCTGCCGATCGTACGGCACTCTTTTCTAAGAACATTTTGTACTTACGCAAACACTATTTTCGAATTGCTACTAAGCCTATTAGTAGATGTTGTAATAAGAAGTTGTTTACGAAAATTTTACGAAATAAACAATTAATTTTAATTGCCTTTTTGGCGATAATTAAGACTGCCTATCAACCTAATTGGAAAGACCATTTAAGTTAAAAAGAAATTTAAAGTACTTTGATAGACAACGAAAGGCTTGTTTCTGACAAAATCTGCAAAAATTAAGGGAAAGAAAAAGACTAATATCCTTAAAAGCAAACAAGAATCAGTCACTATATAAAATATGGACCTGCTTTTTTCAAAGAGAAATCAACAGGATGCCTTAAAATCCCTGAGGAATTGTATGCTTTACAGAAACTGAAAAAAGTACGCTTGCTTTAAAAGGTTTACTTTTTACTTTTCAAATTAAAGCTAATTAAAAATAACCAGGTCAAATGAGAAGGCAAATTACAATAAAAGAAAGCAATTAATATACAATTTTACTTTGCAAATTAACATAGCTAAGTATTAGACGGTTTGTAGTTCTAATAATCGTCAGTAAATCTAAAAAACTGATCCTTCGTCGCCTAATGGGAATCTTCTATAAAAAGTTTTATCACTCGATGATGACGTGATAAGAATTTTAAATAGCATTGTCCTTTTACCGAAACTGCTGTCTAAAATGTTATCGATTGCTTGTATCAGTAACTGGACGTGTTCCAGGAATAGGTAGTCCTTCTACATTTCATTTCGGTTCCCTTATAAACATATTTTTATTTACCTACTGTTTACACTGATTCCTCATTTTCCCAAAACCAATGACGTAAAAATAATCAATTGAACATCAGAATTCAATATTTTAATAAGTATGTACCTATTTAATAAACATCAAATACAATCCAGAAAAGCTAATATTAAGTATATTTTCCATAGTTTTCTTGTACTTCATATTTAATAACAGAGGACACAATAACTTTTATTGTTAATACACAAAACATAAAGGGTAATATAAATCTTTAATATCTAGATAATAATTTAGTTTTCAATGTGGAGAATTTTGTAGTTGTGTTTTTAAGCTATTGTTAATTATTGTGCTCTTTAATTCAATTACGGGATGGTCTGCCTCTTTGGCTTACATATGACATTCCAAATGCCAGCAATTTATGTTTAATAACACAAAAAAGAACTGTATTCAGTTTTTAGATTAAATAAATAAAAAAAACATAATGACAATATCTTCCGAAAACTCCTACGTAGTAAAATCGGATGATTTTTTTATCAGGAATAACATCGAAATATTAAAGTGTATTTTCCAATATCCTAAAAGTACCTACGGCAACATATTTAAAAGTTAAAGAGGCAGATAATCTATATCGCAACACGACAAAATGTGCATACATGAAGGGAAGCACCTGGATAAGCGAGCGAAATTCTATCTGACGATGAAATCATTTATCTAGCGTCACGACGCTAAATGACGCCAAATATTCAGTGGATGCCTGTACCGAAATTAGACTCATAAGTATCTCCAGAAATGCCTAACACGGTCAATTATCCTACATTATGCATATATTTATGTATAGAGCCAAAGATAACTAAAGTAGCTGTGAAAGCTTTCGGCTTTTCTGATTATTTATTTATTTAAAACAAAATACAAAAAGACGTATAGACCAATATTATATACAAAAAAAATTATGAGTGCTGTCAGTATAGGGCAAAGTAGTATTACGTAAATGAAAGTTAGTATCAGCAATTCCTTAATTTCAATTTTACAAACAATTCCTTTAAATTTTAATCATTGATTACTATACATCTATTAAAAAACCATAATGGCCGACATCAGCGACAATAAGACAACAATTGAAAAAGAATGATGGCCGACAACTGCAACAATTACAAAAGAATGATGGCCGACCACTGCAACAATTAGAAAAGAATGATGGCCGACACTACGTCATAGTGGAGCAACAAAAATGGGCGGGGCCAAGGGGAACAACTAATTTTATTCATATTAATAAAACTTGTAGATTACAACAAATTCAAAAAAGCAAAAAGAATATATTAATTCCTTTAAATTTTAATCATTGATTACTACACATCTATTAAAAAACCATAATGGCCGACATCAGCGACAATAAGACAACAATTGAAAAAGAATGATGGCCGACAACTGCAACAATTACAAAAGAATGATGGCCGACCACTGCAACAATTAGAAAAGAATGATGGCCGACACTACGTCATAATGGAGCAATAAAATGGCCAGGGGCAGGGGGAAAACTAGTTTTATTCATATTAATAAAACATATCGATTAAAACAAATTCAAAAATGCAAAATGAATATATTATTTTTTATT